AAGGCCCAAGAGGTGGTGATACAGATCGGCCTTGCACCTTTGGTCCCTAAAGCTTCCTGCCCAGCACAGTGAAGGAAAGACTGCTGCCTTGGAAAGACTCGAGCGGGAGAAAGGGAGCTGAGGAGAGAGGTCTTGGAGAGGGGCAGCTCCGTCTCTGCCACTGGAACCAAGCTTAAGGCATATCCGAGCCCGGCACTTGGTAACCTGCAGCTGTGCATGGATTGAGAGCTCTGGGTTTGAGTCCTGGCGCGGCTCCGTGTCCTTTGTCCACAGTTTGGATCCATGCAAACGCCCACGTTGCCTTCGAGGAGGCCCAGAGGATGCCCGTGCTGGTGTCTCCCAGCAGCCTGGCCCTCACAAGAACAACTCCCTGTGCTATGAGCTAAATAATCATACAGCTCTGAGACCCTGAGTCTAAAACAGCAGCTGAAGCTGAACGGTCACGAGTGTATTTTGCTTTAGCTAAATCAAAAGCTAAAAAAAAAAAGAATAGAAAACGTGGAGTTCTGTGTCATTTTCTGAGGATTGGAGCCACTTGGGAGGCTAGATGCTCTTGCACGAAGGTGTTTGGTGGTGCTGGTTCTAACGTTGTGCTGTTGCTGGTGGTGCTTTACCAAGTGAACGTGCAAGTGTGTGCACACTGGTGAAACAGGGCTTTTAAAGGAACACTACCTAAGCGATGCCTTTTATATACCAGCATTTGCACACACCATCATCCACTCATCTACCCGCTTCGACCCTGCACGTATTAATGGCAGGTGTCCAAACCCAGGCTGCTGTGTGCAAAAGAAGCATAAAAATGCCGACTGTTTTGGGGCCATCTGAAGCGTTTTCCAGTGGCGTTCAGGCTGGTCGTGCCAGGCGGCATGGCCTGGGCCTGCCCGTTGGCAGCAATCACTATACGTCCTGCTATGCATTTAGCAGAACTCTCCCCCTCAGTCATCTTAGGGATAACATTTGAGAGAGAGAAAAAGATGATGATGAGGTTAAAGTAAATTGTTGGGAAGCTGAAGCCTAAAGTGGGAATAAATGAGAAATAAAACCATTTCTAAAAGTAGAGGGAAGTATTTTCTCGCTATTTTTCATCTCCTTGGCTTGAGCGAGTCTGCATTGTGTGGCTGCAGAGATTTATATTCACAGCTCTGGAGCACCAGTGCTTGTTCACATTCCATGTTATTCCAGCCCTTGTTAGTCGCTCACCTGCTAAAAACGTGTCAATATTTATCTTCGTGCGGGCCCATCCACGCTGCCCAGGCCCCAGTGCTGTTGAACGCTGTTATCACCTCATCGCTCTTATCCACGCAGTCGCTGCCAACGTTGGAATCCATAAACTGGAGCAAGTGGGCACCTTCTGGCCTCCCCAAATGAGCAGAAAAAGAGATGATCTGGGGGACTTAATATCTTGAGAAAAAGAGTGTCAGCGCTGTTGCTCAAAAGGGAGAGGTTAGTCTGTATGCTTATCATAAAAACACTGTATTATATGAGTGCTTATCAGCCCCGTGGCACTTGGAGGTGTGATTGAGGGAGCTGGGAACAAACTCAAGGGATCAGTAACCACAGAGACGAGGCCTCTGACACCTCCGTCAACACATCCAGGATCGTCCTTTTAGGAAAATTCCCAAGGAGTGAGCACGGGGTGGAAACACCGATATAATCCTATCACTTATGGGACCAAATTGATGCACAGAAGCCACAGTACCACTTAACGGATAAGACAGTTGGTCCATCTGCGCTCGGTCCATCTTCTGCCATTTCTCTTGCTTAAATTTCTCAGGAGCACAACACGATCCTGTTATCCAATAAGTTACCCACTGGTCAGTGGATTTTCATTGAGCGGCATCTGTTGCAGAGCACGGACGTAGAGGGTCCCGGTAATTTTGTAGCATCTTTGTTTTGTTGATTTTGGTGAACTTGGACACTTATTTTTGATGTATTTGCGTCAGTGCTGGTTGCAGCGTGTAATGCACGAGCTCCCAAAGAGGGAAGTGTTAGAAAATAACAAAATATTTTTGTTTCTGCAGTGTGCTCACTGTGTATGTTCCTATTAGAAGGATATCCTGCTGCCCTACAAGTTAGGCCACCCTTACTGGCGTCGTGGCCGCGTACACAAACATCAGTGGCATTTGCAATTGAACCTCAAACGTTGTTCGAGATTTTCTGTACAGGCACCTCTTATTTGTGTCCAGGACACATTGGTGTCCCCCATGTTACAGCAGCCTCACGATATCCTTGGCACCTCTTGGAAGCTCTGCTCTCCCCAAGGGCAGCCTCAGTGCTGGCTTCTGCCACCTTTTAACATGCCTTAACACATGGGAATGAGGTGCACGGGCATCAGGTTTGCCTGACTTTCCACAGGCACCGTCTGGAAAGAACTGATAGAATGTTCAGGCTTTTGTGTTACAGATCTATCAAGCGATCGGTTGCCGTGGGTATCGGCAGACCCTGCATTTTGTTGCAGTTGCCGCTCTGCAGGAATTTCATTTCAGGAATCTACAGCTAAATTGGAGAGAGAAGGAATAAATGGTCATGACAAACATCCCTCTCGGAGTGGGGTGCTTTATGTGAAATAAAGCAACAAAAATCCTGATGGGTGTCAGTGGGGGAAAATTAACTGCTCCCGACTGCAAACTGAGCGAGGTGGTGGTTTTGATCCGTGCGTTTTTGCATTGCTCTTGGCCGCAGAACTGGTGCTCAGGATGCCCCTCTCGCGTGGTCCCGTGCCCGTGGTGCAGGGCTGGAAGGCGACGTTGCCCCAGGCCTGGGCTGCGATGAGGAGCCCGCTTTCCAGTGGGCTTTGCAAGCAGCCCATAAAGTAGTTGACTCCTGTGTCTGGGAGATATCCTTTGCATCAAGACCATGTAGAAATGATTTTAACTTCTGCGCTTCTGGTTTCAGTGCGAAACAGCAAACATTTCCAGAGCCAAGGAGGTGATATTCGTGTCACGTAATCTCCGCAACGAGAGCGCTGGTACTTGCACTCGTGGCCCATCTTTGATTATTTTCAGGTGCGACCGTTTTGTGTTGCATCGCCGGAGCCGGAGCCAGGCTCTGCGTCTCGGCAGAGGCGCACGTAGGGCTCCCATTAGCCACGGCGCTCCAAAACGCCAGCGCCAAGAGGGACTGAGCTCAGGAGGGCCTCTCAAGGCCCTTGGTGAATGACCACGCTAGAGCTTTTCCCATTTACCTGGATTAAAATCCGCCACGGCAAAAATAAAAGCAAATAGTGTAGCATCTGCAAAGCAGAACAAATAGCATTCGGCCAGCAGTCAGGCTCGAAGGGGGAAAAAAAAGCTCCAGGCTAAATAAAGTGTAAAAAAATGTTTGCATAACATTGGATTAATTGTTCTTTTTAAAAACAGCATTGGAATTAGAGAGATGCATTTCGTATACTGGGACTTGCGCCCTGTTCTTAGACTAATAACTGCCAGCAAGTACATCTCAGTGAAATAAAACGGCTCATTAGCCCGGGGGCTGATTGTAGGTCTGCTGAAGCAGCAGTGTTTCCTCTGGAAGAGGAACAAATGCCTGTAGTATTTCTGGATGGGTTCTCTGCGCTCGGCAAGGAGTTTTGAGGCCAGGCTTTCCGACGGAACGGGAATTCTGTCAGGCTGCCCGGGGCTTTATTGTGAGGCTGCAATTCAATTCCCCGCCGTGTTTTGTTGGCAAAAATTTGGCGAGCGGGAGCGCGGCGCGGAGCTCGCCGCCCTACCCCCAGCGCACGCACAAAACCTGCGGGTTTTAAAGGCTGCCTTGGCCGTAATTCATGTGCTCCGCTCCCGCCGCCCCTGCTGCAGCCCTGCTGCCTGTTCTGCTGAAGTCAGTGCCGTCCCTGTCACTCGGGCTGGCATGTGCTTAAGCAGAGCTCCGAGCCTCCGCATCGCATCGGTTACCGTATTCGCGTGGAATAATCGATGGACGTCGTCCTGATTCCTGCGGCTGTTTTGTTTGCGGGGTCGTCTCGAGATAGCCGCTCGCCTCCCCTCCCCACAAGTTGCATCCGCTGCGGCATCTTGGGAAGGGGAAGGACGGGGCCGGAATCGGGGGTGGCAGGTACCGTTTGGGCTGGGATACGGTCTCCTGAAACGAGACCCTTGTACGTGTAGCCGTGAGTGCTGCGGAAGGTACGCAGGCTACTGCATGGCAGCACATGGGGAGAAAATATCTGACCTGCCACTTTTGTCCTCAAAAGCGAAACAGATGTTTGGGCAGCAAGTGCCTTTTGCATCTGGCTCGTCTCTAGCGCGATTCCTTTTGTTGCTGTTGCTCCTGCCGTGCAGTATGGTTGTCCTGTTAGTGCAGTGTCCCAGGGCAAAGCAGGGGCTCTTTCATCCTAAAATACAGTCACTCCCCCGTTCTCACCTGAGTACAGCTAATACCAGTCAGAATAACGAGTGTGGAAACCGTGACTCTCCAAACAGCAGTGTGTGAGATTTCCACCTGTTTCCCTGTGCTTTTTTTCCCTTCTGCCGGCTCCCGAGTCCATGGCAGGTTGTCGAATTTGCATGTTAATCCCAGTGATGATCTAATGAAAACCTGAGTTTCCATAAGCAGCTGCAAATAAATTAAAGGAGTAGGGCACTGAATTAGAGGCCAAGCGTGGTGAAAGGAAAGGGGCCGGTGTTTCCATCTGTTATTTCACCTGTTCTTGTGGCAGGATGAGGCTGCCCTGAGGGACACCTAGTTTTGCCCTGCTAGGATGTGCCATGCAGGGACCGAAATCTTTCCTTTTTATGGTCTGGAAGTGATAATGAACTGAATTATACTCGTGTCATGACGTGATCCACGTATATGCATGGATAGATATTGATTATCCATCAATAGGGATGCACGATAGGTGAAGATTCAAAGCCTGGCTGTTAGGTACCTGGGTGTCCTGGGCTGTTTGTCTGGTCAGTTAAAATATTGCCATGATTCGCTTTATTTCCTTAAAACTGGAATTTACTTGCACCCCTGTGACCTTGTCTGTACCTCTAAAATCAAGTGTATGTCTTGTTTTTCAGGACGGGGAAGGCCAGACTGCACTCCATTATGGTAAGCTGCCTTTCAGCTTGGTTGTTGCCTCTTAACAGGATGGATTTCCAGCTCGAGTAAATGATCCTGTGTGCAGAAAGCAAATTTCAGCAGAAATGCTAGCAGGGGAGCTGCGTTACAAACCGGTCTCGCCCCAGAAGATTCTCTACTGCAGAATCACAGAGTATTTTGCAATGAGGTGAAGTTGCAGTTTGTGTCGCTCCTACAATTACATGCTAATTAGATGTGTGGTTTTATAGCGATCTTTTTAATTGAAAGATTCTTCTATCTCCAAATGAGAAGAGCAGAGAGACTAAAATGACATATGCAGTGCTGATGTGCAGGGAATATAAATAAGAATATTGATTTAATCTATATCATATTTTTCCCCCAAATTAAGACAGATACAGTTATCATTTTACACTTTCTCTCAATGCCTGTCCCTGCGTAATTAAGAACATACTTGTCACTCTTGAAGTGTTTGTGTCTATTCCTCTTCCTCTGGTTTCTCCACAAAGATAGCAAAATTACTTTGTAGGCTCTCAGTCCACGGGACCACTTCTGGATCTGGGTTTCAACTACCAGATTCCAGGATCCCGGAACAAGAATGTAGTTACAGTAACATATGATACCCTCCCTGCTCCCTAACTCTAGCACGTGTGTAATTTATCCGAGAGCACCTGCTGAAAACTAGTCAAATACTCTAAGGCAGAGGGTGGATGCATTACCTTAATATGAATTATTTCCTTTACGGGCTGGTTTTATTTCCCCCAGGCTGGTGGTTGAAGCTAGTTGTTTAACACAAACAAATATAACCGATTTAATTAAGAGGATGTCAGAAAGTATTTCTCTGATCCATCATGCCAACTATGATAATAATAATGAGTTTTCCACCTTTTTTGTTCCCCCCAGAAGAATGTTTTGTGCGCAAAAAAAAAAAAAAATCCATCCCCTTGAGTATTTATTCCCCCATCGCCCTTCCTGCAAGCAACCTGTGGGGAAGCCTCTTGGCTCCCTAGTCCAGAGACCCGATCTGTTCACGGGTGTCCTGCTGCCCCGGTGAGTGTCGCCCAACCCCATCTGTCTGCGATTTCCTTCCTCCTCCTCTGCTTAGCAGATCTGGTCATGAATCACCCAAATCCTCCTTGTTAACTTAGCGAATTGTTTTGATTCAAGTGGTTATGGGCCTGGACCTGGAATTCACTGAGAAGTGCCCCAGTGCAATGTCTGTATGCGCTTTGTAACCACGAGAGCTCTCGTGAAGAACGTGGCTCCTGGTGTGCAGCAGAATATTGCCCTGTTGCTAGAGGTTTCCTGGGAAGGATTAAATCCCACAGGCAAGGACAGTAAGACGGGGACTGCTTTTAGGGTTTACCCATCCCCTTTTATGAGCGAGCCTGGCCTGACAGCTGTCCTTGTGGTGACAGCTCTCCTGATTACAGCCGGTGTCAAACTGCATCCTGCGACGGGCTATAAATTCTGTCTCGTTGCGATTGGCGCTGACCCTGCCTTTAATCGGAGGTTAAGTGGAGGCCAATACCCCAGCCTGGCCTTCCCGGACGGGCTTCCCCTTGGGATATGTGGTGGCCCTGGATGCTGCAGCTGCCTCCCGGGCACAGGGCGCCGCGGTCGCGCGCGGTGCCGCGTTGATTGGAACGAGCGCGGGCTCCCGGCTCAACGGCCTGTTAGTCTTTAGCTCCCCTTCATCCATCCACCCGCCCGTCTGTGGGGAATACTGAAATCATTGCCTCTGTGGCTCCCAGAGGAAAGAAAGGCTTCTCCGAGCGCTCGCAGCCACGTGGCCGCGGGCTGGGCCGGCTCTCTATCCTCCTGGGCGCTCTGTCTTCCTTGTAAAGCACCATCTGTTCGGCCCTTTCCGCGCTGTGACAGGGCAGTGGGAGGGGACGCCAGAGCGAAAATAAATAAAAAAAAAAAAAAAAAGAGAAAGAAAGAAATTCATCATCCGAACCCTGAGGATTAATGGAGTCAGAAGGCGAACTGCGCTGAATGAAAATTCATCTTCACCCGTGCCAGTGTCAGGGCTGCCGCTCCGGCCCTTGACAAATAGAGCTTCCCAGGGCGCCATAAATCCCGCAGCTGTGCTCGGCCCCGGGGACTGCTGGCTGTCCCACCGCCTCCGGCCGCATCCCGCAGGATGCCGGTTCCTGGGGGAACGCGCCCGCCCTCGTCGTGGCCTCCCGAAACGCAGCCCGGCTGGCACAAGTCACCGTGGTCCCCCACAGCCGCCAGGGACTTGCTGCCGCCAGCCCTTGTCCCACATCCCCGCTGCCACCTGCTTCGTCATCAGTCCCTTTGCTTCCCTTTCCCTTTTATCCGTTCCCCATATAAGCTCCAATCACACATTGGGTTTATTTTAATTAAACTTCGCTGCTTGTCCCTTTGGGTCAGTGGAAAACTGCAGAGTAATGTAAAAGATACTCTAATTACTACGTTTAATGGCAAAGACGAGTTAGTCGGTTACGTTGCTAAAGTGGCTGGAATGTAATTAAAACTGATACATAAGAATTGGAGAGGAAGCTGCCGCCGTCTCGCAAGCTCCTAAGGCAGCTGGGGCTGGAAATGTTCCTGGGCTTCCCCAGGAATCTGCCTTCCAGAGGTACCGTAAGGGAGAGCCCAGGACTTTGTGTGTTTCCTGCACGCACAGCTCTGCAGCATTAAATACATTGCGTTTATTTTTAGGAAGTGCCTGAGGCTGGGTGTGGAGAAGGAGTTGAAAATTGCCAGGCTGTTAAGTCCTCAGGATGGAGAAGAGCTCGGGTCAAACTCGATTTTATCTCAGTAGAGTAATTCGAGCCTGGGAAAATAGTTGTTAGTGGAGATAATAGTGCAAAATAAAGGCCTGTGCCATCGCAGTGTGGACACTCATGGAGCACATGGGTGTCCACCTTGTTTCCCATCTTCAAACGGCTCCAGAAAATGCCTTGTAGGGCTGTCCAAGCCCAGCTGCTGAAACACGGCTCCCCTTGCGTGGCCTGGACCAGCTGCCCCAGGGCCATCCCGCTCAGCCTTGTTGCCCGAGGAGCGCTGCGGAGCCTTCCCCGGCCTAGGACCCTCCGGACGTTTCATTTCTTTCCCTTTTCCCTCCCCGTCGGAGCTGCTCCTGCCTTTGCGCCTCGCGCTTGGTGCCGCGGCCTGCCCCGCGTGGCCTCT